AAGACCAGGGCTCTTCTTCGTTGGAAGGGTTATAATTATTGTTATTGTTACTGATTCAATCTCCTTACTATTCAAATTTTCTTTTTCTTTTTTAAAACATATATATTTTATTGAAGTATAGTTGACTTACAATGTTTCAGGTGCACAGTAAAGTGATTCAGTTATATAGACACACATATATTATGTTTGAAATCATTTTACATTATAGGTTATTACAAGATATTGACTGTGGTTCCCTATGCTATACAGTAAACCTTTGTTGCTTGTTGCATATCTATTTTTTAATTAGAAATCTAGCATTCTATTCATACTAAGTCAAACAAGTTAAGTCAAAATGTCATAATATTTTAGTTAGGCAAAAATTCACAGGCTTTCTAAAGTGTATATATTATACATATTTATATATATGTATATAAAAGCTTTTCTACTACACTTGATAAAGGCTTGAGAAAGAACATCAAATATAAACAAGAAGAGATAGAGAAACTGGAGAATATAAACTAAGTGAAATGGGAGCACTGAATATGAAATAGAAAAAGTGAAACAAACTACCTAAAAGTAAAAGATCATCATATAGTCCAGTTGTTTTTTTTTTTTTCATTTTTTTTTATTAGTTGGAGGCTAATTAGTTTACAGTATTGTAGTGGTTTTTGCCATACATTGACATGAATCAGCCATGGATTTACATGTGTTCCCCATCCGGATCCCCCCTCCCGCCTCCCTCCCCATCCCATCCTTCCAGGTCTTCCCAGTGCACCAGCCCTGAGCACTTGTCTCATGCATCCAACCTGAACTGGTGATCTGTTTCACACTTGATAATATACATGTTTCGATGTTATTCTCTCAGATCATCCCACCCTCACCTTCTCCCATAGAGTCCAAAAGTCCGTTCTAAGGAGATGGATGAAACTGGAGCCCATTATACAGAGTGAAGTAAGCCAGAAAGATAAACACCAATACAGTATACTAATGCATATATATATGGAATTTAGAAAGATGGTAATGATAACCCTATATGCAAGACAGAAAAAGAGACACAGATGCATAGTCCTGTTGTTTTTAAACATGACTGTTCATTAGGAACATATCTAGAGCTCTGGAGAAAAAAAGCAACACCTGAGTATTTGTATTTTTCAAAAAATTTCAAGATAATTCTGATATGCATCTGGATTTTAAAAAATGATTACAAGTTTTTCTATTAGATTCTAGTTTTGGTGATATGCAGTTCTATTATTTTCCTGATGACCAATCATGATACAATGATATTAAGTGAGTAACAGCGACATAATCACAATAGTAAAAGATGTTTATCAGTTTTCACAATCAATAGCCAGACCAAAAAAAAATAAAAGATAATTACAATCAAAGCCATAATGGGAACATGATTAACAACAATATAAAATAATTGCATACACTTTGGGGGGTGTCAAGCAGAATGATGTGGTAAGTGGAAGTGCATATATGCACATGTTGTCACAACCCCAGCCAGTCTATATCTTTTGGTTGGTGCATTTAATCCATTTACACTTAAAGTAATTATAGATATGTATGATCCTATTACCATTTAAGTAATTGTTTTGGATTTATTTTCTGTACGTCTTTTTCTTCTCTTATTTCCTGCCTAGAGAAATTCCTTTAGCATTTGTGTAAAGCCAGTTTGGTGGTGCTGAATTCTCTTAACTTTTGCTTGTCTGGAAAGCTTTTGATTTCTCCATCAAATCTGAAGGAGAGTCTTGCTGGGTATTCTTGGTTGCAGGTTCTTCCCTTTCATAACTTTAAATATATCATGACATTTCCTTCTAGCTCATAGAGTTTCTGTTGAGAAAACTGCTGATAACCTGATGGGAGTTCCCTTGTATGTTATTGGTTTTTTCCTTGTTGCTTTTAATACTTTGTCTCTGTCTTTAATTTTTGTCAGTTTGAATAGTCTGTGTCTTGGTGTGTTCCTCCTTGGGTTCATCCTTCCTGGGACTCTCTGTGCTTCCTGGACTTTGCTGACCATTTCCTTTCCCATGTTCAGGAAGTTTTCAGCTATTACCTCTTCAAATATTTTCTCAGGTCCTTTCTCTCTCTCTTCTTCTGGGACACCTATAATGTGAATATTGGTGCATTTAATGTTTTCCCAGAGGTCTCTTAGGCTGTCTTCATTTCTTTTCATTTTTTTCTATATTCTGTTCTGTGGCAGTGGTTTCCACCATTTTGTCCTCCAGGTCATTTATCTGTTCTTCTGCCTCAGTTTTTCTGCTATTGATTCCTTCTAGTGTATTATTCAACTTTGTTTACTTGTTCTTTAGTTCTTCTAGGTCTTTGGTAAACATGTAGTGTATCTTCTCAATCTTTGCCTCCATTCTTTTCCTGAGCTCCTGGATCATCTTCACTGTCATTATTCTGAATTCTTTTTCTGGAAGGTTACCTATCTCCACTTCATTTAGTTGTTTTCCTGGGATTTTATTTTGTCCCTTCATCTGGGACATAACTTGCTGCTTTTTCCATCACAATTAACTTCCTGTAATACAGTTTTTATTTTAGCTGTTGTGAGACTGTGCTTCTTCTTGCTTCTTCTGTCTTCCCTCTGATGGCTGAGGCTAAGAGGCTTGAGTTAGCTTCTTGAGGGAGGGACTGGTGATGGTAAAAATTGGGTCTTGCTCTGGTGGGCAGGGCCTTGTTCAGTACAGCTTTAATGCTGCTGATGGGTGGGGTTGCCCTCCCACCTCCCACCCCCATAGTTGTTTGGCCTGAGGTGACCCAGCTGTGGGGTCTAGGTACTCTTGTTGTTTCTGTTCAGTTGCCCAGTCGTATTCAAATCTTTGTGATTGCATGGACTGCAGCACGCCATGCCTCTCTGTCCTCACCATCTCCCAAAGTTTGCCAAAATTCATGCCCATTGCATGGGCTCTATAGTAGGGTTAATGGAGAACTCCAAGAGGGTTTACATCAAGGGGAATCTTCCTGTGCCCCCACCCCTGTGGTGAGCCTCTGCTGATCCATGCCTCCACAGGAGACCCTCCAACACTAGCAAGTAGTTTTCACTCAGTCTCCTGTGGGGTCACTGCTCCTCTCCTCTGGGTCTTGGTGCAAGAAAAAACTTGTTTATGTCCTCTAAGACTGGATCTCCCTTTCCACCAGTCTTCCAGAAGACCTATAATCAAAACCCACCAGTCAGGTTCCCTGGGTTTCCCAGTCCCTTTGTCAGATTCCTGGGCTGAGAAGCATGATGTGGAGCTCAGAATCTTCACAAGAGTGTGAGAACTTTTTTGGTATTATTCTCCAGTCTGTGAGCCACCCACCCACAGGGCATGGGATTCAATATTATTGTGATTGCCCCCCTCCTACCATCTTGCTGTGGCTTTTTCTTTGTCTTTGGAGGGGGGTGGTATCTTTTTTGGTGGGTTCCAGCATCCTCCTGTCAATGGTTGTTCAACAGATAGCAAAACACAGCACAGATAAGGTCTATTCAGATTTTCTAGTTATTTGTAGATTTTATGTCTCTTCGAATTTGTCTGTTTTACCTAGAGCTATCCAATTTGGGGACATACAATCGATCGCAGTACTCTATTTTTTATTTCTGTTGAACCAGTAGTAATATCCCCACTTTCATTTCTGATTTTAATAATTTGAGTCTTCTCTATTTTTTTCTTGTTATTTTTGTTCAGTCACTATGTCACATTTGACACTTTGCAGCCCTTTGAACTGCCGGACACCAGGCTTCCCTGTCCTTCTCTAGCTCCCTGATTTTGCTCAAACTCATGTCTATTGAGTCAGTGATGCCATCCAAACATCTCACCCTTTGTTGCCCTCTTCTCCTCTTGCCTTCAATCTTTCCCAGAATCAGGGTCTTTTCCAATGAGTCAACCTTTTACATCAGGTGGCCAAAGTATTAGAGCTTCAGCTTCAGCACCAGTCCTGCCAAAGAATATTCAGGGTTGATCTCCTTTAGGATTGACTGGTTTGATCTCCTTGCAGTCCAAGGGACTCTCAAGAGTCTTCTCCAACACCACAGTTCAAAAGCATCAATTTTCTTCAGCGCTCAGCCTTCTTTGTAGTCCAACTCTCACATCTGTACACAACTACTGGAAAAACCATAGCTTTGACTATACAGACCTTTGTTGGCAAAGTGATGTCTCTGCTTTGTAATATGCTGTCTAGGTTGGTAATAACTTTTCTTCCAAGGAGTAAGTGTCTTTTAATTTTGTGGCTGTAGTCACCATCTGTGGTTATTTTGGAGCCAAAAAAATAAAATAAAATCTGCAACTCTTTCCATTTTTCCTCCATCTATTTCCCATGAACTAATGGGACTGAATACCATTATTTAATTTTTTAAGTATTGAGATATAAACTAGCTGTTTCACTCTCCTCTTTCACCCTTATCAAGAGGCTCCTTAGTTCTTCTTCACTTTCTGCCATTAGAGTGGTATCATCTGCATATCTCAGGTTGTTGATAATCCTCCAGGCAATCTTGATTCCAGCTTGTGATTCATCCAGCCCTGCATTTCGCAACATGCACTCTGCAAAGAAGTTAAATAAGCGGGGTGCCAATATACACTCTTGAAGTACTCCTTTCCCAATTTTGAACCAGTCGGTAATTCCATGTGTTGGGGCTGCTGGGAGGAGGGCAAGAGGGATTCCCTCTTGAAGACTGTCAGCCATCTGAAGGCAGGATGTGAACTGGGCCTGAGCCCTGTTAACCATCGCTAAAGAAAAACCAGGAAACCCGTCCTCACGGCTGGCAAACAAAGATTGGAGGTAAAGGTCAGGTTGTCTCGGTCAGATTAATGACAGTGCCTGCACCTGCAGGTTGCAATTGCTATTTCTTCCACACCTGCGTATTGTAAAACTAACTACTCATGTGTAACCAGTCATGTAGTGGGGAGTATAAAACTGAACCCTCCAAAATCATTGGGGTCCTTGTTGGGAAGTGATTCCCCTTGGACCCGCTGGTGCAATAAACTGTCCTCTACTGTCTTGAGAGTCCTCCTAGATGTGGTTTGTGACTCCGGATTCTATGACATTTCTGGTGCATTGGCCAGGAAGCCCTCAGAAAGATAGGGCCATTGAGCCTCTGCCTGCAGCTTGCTGTGACAAGGGCCTCCAAAAGGGGATGGTGCCCCCTGCCCTGGATCGGCTCTTGTTTTAGTGACTTGTCTTTCTAGGTGGACTTCACAAGACTGTGGATGACAGAAGGGAAGTGCGCTGGAGGATCCCACTGTAATAGTGGCAGAAGGGGTGTGACCAACCCCTTGGAGCTGGATGAGTCTGTGGCGGCTGTGTCCTCTGAGGCTCAGTGGGGAATTGTTTACTGAAATAAGTAAAACTCTGTTAACTGAATCTGTCCTGATCATTTGTCAGCATATTTTCTGGTTCCCTTTGCTGTGACACCCTCTCGTTCTCCTTAGAGATTCAGGGACCTCGCAAACGTTGTTTAGGACCGGACTGGGAACTGTGGCTCTGGACGTACACTTGTCTGCACCAATCCGTGATCAGACAGACTTGGATCACGCCAGGATCAGACTTATGCAAGGAGGAGTACGTGGAAGCCTTAATTGATTGGATTTGGCTGGCTGCTGAGAGAAAAACACAAGGGGTATTACCACTGAAAGACTTATCAGGTAAGGAAGCCCTTTTCACCCTGGTCATAGCCAAGGTAAAGTGGCAGTTGTCGTGCTTCTTTGAGCAGAGACATCAGCAGTGGCTGGGGTACAAGATCCTGGATGAAATAGAAGTTGGATTTGCTGTAAGTGACAGAAGGAAAGCGAAAAGTAGGATGTGTAGTGGAGAATCCAAGCCAACTATTCTTGAATGCATGATTTAAAACTTCAAAAAGGGCTTTGGAGGAGACTATAGTATAAAATTCACCCCAGACGAGCTTAGAACATTTTGTGAAATAGACGGTGTAGGATGGCCCTTAGAAGGAGCCCTAGAATTGGACAAAGTTTGGGCTGTTTCTGTGTGGTAACCAGACAGCCAAGTCACCCAGACCAGTTCCCGCACATTGACTCAGGGCTACTAACTGCACAAAACCCACCCCCTTGGGCCCGAGTATGTTATCTTGGAAAAGGAGAAAGCAAGATTTTGCTGATGCAGGCAGAATCCAAGCAAGAAAAGATAAAGGATGATCTGGAGGAGGAGGAACTCCCACCTCCCCCTCCATACTAGGGAACATGAAGGGAACTCCCAGAACAAGAGGAAGGGACAAGAGAGGAGGAAGACTTTCTGCCTCCGGCTCCCCCAGTGGAGGAGGTTTCTGTCCCTCCTACTGTGCCACCAAGTGCAATGGAAGCTATTTTGCCAACATTATACCTACCCCTCCCCAGTTTAGAAGAGGGGGGAAAAAGGGAGAGCCAGCTGTTCAGAGGCAGCTGAGGTCTACAAAGGAACATCAAGAGAGAGAGGTTTTCAAATGCCTCTTAGGGAGGTTCAAGCAGCACTGCAGATGGGGCCAGACGGGCACATCCATCCTGGCCCCACTGCTCTTTACTATCAGCCGTCTCTACCATGGATCTCTTGAACTGGCAAAGGCACATCCCTCCCTATTCTGAGAAGCCACAAGGTATGATTCATCTAATGGAGACTATTTTCAGGATCCACTGACTGGTGTGGGATGACATAGCCCAGCTTCTCCTCTTCAGTATGGAAGGAAGACACCAGATCCTCACAGAGGCACATAAGTGGCTGGGCCAACTGGATCCTGAAAGTTGGGCCCGAGAAACCACTCCTGACACAAAACCAGACTGGGATTTCATTATTGACCAAGGTAAGCAATCCTTGAAATGGTATAAGATGGCCATTATATAAGGCCTCAAGAATGGGGCTCACAAGCCTACTAATGTGGCCAAGACTAACACCATGATCCAAAAAGCAGATGAGACTCTCACAGAATTTTATAAGAGGCTATGTGAGGCCTTTCGACAATATACCCCCTTTGATCCAGAGACCTCTGAAAACCAAAGGCTCACAAATGCCACCTTTGTGGTCCAGTCATATCCAGATATTAGAAGGAAACTCCAACAAAAGATGGGGGGGTTCTTGACTCTTACCAGCACCTAGACAATAGGAATCGCTGCTGAAATTGCAGGTGGGAACAGAGACTTTCCTCCTGTCTGTGACAATACCAAAGGAAGATGAATGGAAGCTATATCAGTCATCCAGAGGCAGGGGAGACTCTGAAAGCCCTAGCAAACCTGTTTACTGAAGTACAGGCTGAAAGGAACCCCCTGAACTTGCAAAAAAAACAGCCTCCAGTGATAATAGAGCTAAAGGTAGGGGCCCAGCCCATAAGGCTGTGACAGAGGCTCCCACACTAGGCCTCTCTGATTTAACCAAACCTTTCACTCTGTACATCCATGAAAAAGAACAAGTAGCATAGGAGTGCTGACACAAACAAAAGCTCATGGCAGTGACCTGTGGCTTATTTATCCAAAAGGCTGGATTCCGTAGCCTCTGGATGGCCTCCATATCTGAGAGCAATGTCAGCTGTTGCCATTTTAATAAGAGAGGCTGACAAACTGACTATGGGACAGACTATTATAATAGAAGTGCTGCGTGCCATCATCACTCTTCTAACAGGGCCAGTGGCAAAGCGGCTTTCCACCTCTCAGATGTTACATCATCAAAGCCTTTTATGTGGAAATCCCTGAAAAAGTGTGGAACCCTGTCAGGCTCTAAACCCAGCAACTTATTTGCCGGTGAGCCAAGGCCCTCCCAACCATGACTGTGAGGAGATGCTGCTGCAGCTAAGTTGCTTCAGTCGTGTCCGACTTTGTGCAACCCCATAGATGGCAGCCCACCAGGCTCCTCCATCCCTGGGATTCTCCAGGCAAGAACACTGGAGTGTGTTGCCATTTTCTTCTCCAATGCATGAAAGTGAAAAGTGAAAGTGAAGTTGCTCAGTCGTGTCCAACTCTTCGCAGCCCCATGGACTGTAGCCTACCAGGCTCCTCCATCCATGGGATTTTCCAGGCAAGAGTACTGGAGTGGGGTGCCATCACCTCCGTGAGGAGATGCTAGAAGAAGTCTTTTTGAGCCAATCAGACCTCAGAGACATCCCCTTAAAGTCAACCAGATGAGACTTATTACACAGATGGGACCAGCTACCTGGAACAGGGACACAGGAAAACTGGATACATGGTAATTACAAAGGATACAGTAGTCGAGGCAGGATGACTCCCTACACACTGGTCGGCTCAACAAGCAGAGCTCTGGGCACTTATATGTGCCCTAAAATTGACTAAAGGTAAGAAGGTAAATATATATACTGACTCACGGTATTCCTTCACTACCTTACATGTACATGGGGCCATATATAAGGAAAGGGGGCTATTAACTGCAACTGGCAAGGAGATAAAAAGATAAAGAGGAAATTCTGCTACTGTTGGAAGCAGTGTGGGAACCCACTGCAGTGGCAGTAATACACTGTGGGGACCACCAAAGGGCGGACACACCTTAGGCAAAAGGGAACTGTCTGGCCAATCCAAGCAGCCACCCTAGGACAATATAGCACCCAAACTTATGGGGACGCCTGTGGTGTCCAGCCTACTAACTGCCCAAGTGGCCCCAGTCTATGACAAGGAAGAAACCACCTGGGCATGAACTGAGCAAGGAACACTATGGGAGGACAGATGGTGGAAACTCTCAGATGGGAGACTTTCATCCCCTATAGGTTGGCATTTCAATTGGTTACAGATTTGGAAAACTTGCAAGATTTTACAATTAAAGGGAACCGCTCCATTTGAACATCTAGAGGTGGACTTCACTAGAGGTAAAGCCATGCCAAGGATACAAATATTTGCTGGTGATGATATGTACTTTTACAGAATAGGTGGAAGCTTATTCCACCAAGGCTGAGAAAGCCAAGGAAGTGGGCTGATGTGTGCTGAGAGACGTTATTCCTAGGTTTTGGTTCCCTCTGAGTATAGGATCAGATAACAGGCCTGCATTTGTGGCTGAGTTACTCCCATTTGTATGCAAAGTAGTAAATATTAAATGGAAACTATATACAGCATATAGGCCACAAAGCTCAGGAATGGTTGAGGGAATGAACCAGACTACCAAGGTGACTTTGGCAAAATGGGTGCAAGAAACTGGTGCCCCCTGTATGGACATGCTGCCATTAGTGTTAATGAGGATCAGAATGACCCCCTGGTTGCATGGGTATTCCCCCTATGAGATAATGTTTGGGAGGCCTCCCCCACTTATTCAGGACAAAGGGGAAGGATGGAGGTGTCGTGGCAACTGGAACAATTGGGGAAGGTGATCAATGACATCACCTGCTATGTTCATGACAGAATTCCATTTTGTCTAGGCACTACTATACACCCATACTCACCAGGAGATTTAGTATGAGTAGAGGGCTGGAAGCAGCAGATGTTGTCCCCCACCTGGAACAGGCCATACACAATTGTTCTAACCACTTCCACTGCAGTTAAAGTTGCAGGTATCACTCCCTGGATAACTGTTGGGTTTGTGGGGCCATGCCTTTATCGATGATGGATGGACTTCCTTGGTGGGTGTATCCCTTATGCAGAGGGACTTCAGCCCCCTCTGCTCGTTCTTGAGACAATGAGAGACTTTTCTTTCTTTGGTAACTCACAACCTATCGATTCTTTCTTGGTGTAATCTGGACTCTAACCAAATTGATCAAGGCCATGTGGTGACATTTAAGGGAAAAGCTATGTCTAATGATAATCCTCATTTTTCGTCATTGGTATTTTCTCGGATCAAAGGTGATTGGTGGAAAAATCTTTTTGTGATTATTCCATTAATCATTGTATTATTAACTTTTAGGCATTGTATTCCATAATATATAACTTAGTGTGTAACTGAAAGCCTTGCTACAGCTACATAGTCCCCATATACTATACCTAGCCATTACTGATGCCCATCATTAGTTAAAGATAAGATGAGCATCAAGAGCGGGGAATGTTGGGGCTGCTGGGAGGAGGGCAAGAGGGATTCCCTCTTGAAGGCTGTCAGCCATCTGAAGGCAGGATGTGAGCTGGGCCTGAGCCCTGTTAACCATCGCTAAAGAAAGACCAGGAAACCCCTCCTCACGGATGGCAAACAAGATTGGAAGTAAAGGTCAGGTTGTCTCAGTTAGATTAACGATAACGCCTGCACCTGCATGTTGCAATTGTTCATTCTTCTGCACCTGCATATTGTGAAACTAATTACTAGTCATGTACGAAACCAAGTCCCTCAGAATCATCGGAGTCTTTGTTGGGAAGTGATTCCCCTTGGACTTGCTAGTGTAATAAACTCTACTCCACTGTTGTGAGTGTCCTTCAAGGTGTGTTTCGTGACTCGGGATTCTACAACACATGTAAGGTTCTAGCTGTTGCTTCTT